CTACCTATTAGCTACCAAAACCTATTAGATTCTAGCCTAACATTACTACTAGAAAGGTATAGAGACTACCTATAAACGCTACGTTTAGAACTGTATCCTATGCAGGAGAGGGCACCTAAGATAGCACTAACTCCTAGGCATGCTCTACCCCCTTCCTATCCCTAGTCTACTAATGCAGCACCTGTGCATTAATTTTAAGGATTTTCCCTAGGATTAATAGGGTTATAATTAGATTATAGTTATTATTAATCGCCTATTAAAGTAAGCTATTACTATCCCTTGCTATAAAACTATAGACGCCTAAGGTATAGCTACCTTATTTGTTTAGTAGGTGTACTAATTTAGACATACTCTAGATACTATTATTTCTAATTAAGGCCCTTAGTTTATATCTAGTTTCTAGTCTAAGTTCTGTTAGATTATAGGCACTAAAGTTAAGCTCTCTACTGCCTACTATAAATAGACTAATAGACAAACTAAGATTATAAATAAGTATATTAACTAGAGACTAAGGCCTTTTATATCCTATTACTAGGACAACTAGAGCAAGCTACTACCTATAATAGACTATGCCTAAAGTACTCTTCTATATTTATCTATTAGTATAGCTCTATATTAGCTCCTCTTTAGTTCCTTACTAAAGCAAAGTTAGTATTAGAAACTAGAAAAGACCCTATCTACTATACTAGAGAAACTAAACTATAAAGACGCCTTATCCCTTGCTACTTAGATGCACGACGCCTAGAAGATTGCTAAAGAAAATATAGAAAGAGCTTAAGACTAAATGCGCTCCGCTACTAATCGCTATTGCTATCTAGTTAACTAGAAGATTAGTAACTATATTTATCTATCCACTACTAATCTTACTATTTTACAACCTAGCTAAAAACTATCTAAATAATAGGAAGGTCCCTTTAAGGTATTAGAATAAGTGGGAAACGCGTATTGCCTCTAATTGCTACCTAGTTCTAAGATCTATAACGTTTTCTCTCCTAATATACTATGCAAAGATCCCTAAGACCTATTGCCTAGATAAGAGGCTCTAAAACCCCCTAGTACCCCTATACAAGGTGTAGAGGAATAGGAGGTGGAAGAAATCCTAGCTAGTAAATTATACTAATCTAAGCTAAAATATAAGGTCAAGTAGGTTAGATATAATCCTGATCCTATTTAGTATCCTGCCTCTAACTTTATAGGTGCTCCCTATAAATTACAGGCATTCTACTAACAGTATCTAAATTAGCTAGGTCCCCTACGCAGCTTACTAAAATAGATTCAAGCCTAGGAAAAAGGCAAAGAGGATCTAACATTACTTCACAACAATTACGCCTAATACTAGAACTAATTTATATCCTATTTAGCTACGCATTATCTATTAACTACTATCTATTACTATTATTCTTGTTACTACTTATTATTATATCCTATTTAGAACCTTTAAGGTTCCTAGGACACTACCCCTAGGAAACCTCTTTATTCTGTGTCTATCTCTCTATTAGAACCTAGTTTAGACTCTGTATTAGCTAAGATTGCGCCTAGACTATCCTTCTTCGCTAGCTTCTAGACAACTAGTGCAGCAGGAATTAGAGTAGGTGCGGGAGTAGGGATAGGAGCTAGGACTAATTTAGACTCCTTCTTATAGAACGCCTTTATCTTAGCCTAGACTAGGAAAGTTGCCTCCTAATTTAGCGCTAATTCCTCCTTAAGTTTATTAACAGCCTTTATTAAGCCCCTAACTGCTAAGACTATCTTATAAATACTATTCTAAAGCTAACGTAAATTAGATATAGCAGTATAATAGGTAGCTATAAGGATTTTAGTAGCTTCTATACCCTTAGTCTAAGCATTAGTAATAGTAACGCACTTAGCTAGGTTTTAGGTAGTTTCTTAAATAGTAGCCTTAAACTGCTTAACATCCTTCTAATAGGCAACCACAGCTTCCTTATCCTTATCCCCTTTAGCAGGGTTTCTAATTAGGCTGTAGTATTCTTCTAGAGCACCCCTAAGGGCAGAGTACTCTTAGCTAACAAAAGAAGGAATCTACTAGGATTAGTAAAGGAACCCTATTAGACTTAGACACTTACTAGATTGCAATACTTATTCTAGGAGATATAGTACTAGCACTTCTTAGAATTCTTTAACTTAAAATTAAAATTGTTAAACCTACCCCTAGCTAGAGCCCTAACTGCTCTTATATAGAGAGCGCGATAAGCGACTAGGAGGACTCCTAGTAGTACTAGTACTAGCATAGCTAAAGGTTCTAATTTAGATTAGCAACTGTTTAATTATATAGATTAAATACTTACTAGATTTTAGATAGATTGGTTTAAATAATTAAAAAATTAGGGATATAGGAGTGAGAAAGTTGGTAGGTAGAGGGCTAGTTATAGGCAGGCTAGGGATAGGGGTCTGTGCCCTAGGAAGAAGAAGTAAAGGTAAAGGCAGAGGTAAAGGTGGATTTATTTTGCAAAAGCTCTTCTTTAAAGAGGGATCTGAACCTAATCTAAAGGATAGGGACTATCCTTTCTCTATAGGAGGGGGTAGTGTAATAATAAGGCAGAATTGCCTGCCTATTATTCTATGCTAAGTTAGGCCTAATAAAGGCCCGACTTACTAATGTATATAGAGAACAGCTCGCCTATAGTTAGGATAGGCATGTTCTTCTTATCCTTTTGTACAAGACCTATAGGTGTAGGAATCTTATCCTTTTCCGTATAGACGCGCACTCCTATATGCCTTTGAGTTGTATAGGATACCTTTTAGATGCCCTACCTACCTGAGTCGTTATACTGGATAGGTGATCGTGCTTGCCTTACTACCATAATCTTGATTGATAGGATGGGACTTGATTAGAGCTTTCCTTAACTCTTTGAATTTTTGATTCCTATTAATCCTTTTCTTAATCTCTAATTATTAAGTAGTAGTAAGCTTGTTACCTATATTAGTCTAAGCTTTAATAACATTTTTGTATTTAGGAGGTTTCTATAGGTAAGATCTACTATATAGGCATAAAGACTCCTTCTTTAGTTAATTAGAAGGTGGAGCTCCTATTATTGCAAATACTCTAGGACCCCTAGAGCTTGATCTTATGTCGTTTTCTTAGAGAAGTAATAAATAGATCTTAGCAACCTGCAGGAGGTTGTATATTAGCTCTCCTATTACTAATTTTTTAATAATCCTTTAAAATATAGTTTAACCCTAATCTAGTAAGATCCTAGTAGATAGAGCTTTAAGATAATCCTGTACTATAAGCTATCCTTTAATATTAGGAACGTTGTATACCTTAGCTTGCGTATATAGGATTATCTACTCCTTTTGCTAGCAATTAGTGTCTTAACTACTTATCTTTACTTTAGCAAGATAAGCTTTATACTACGATCTTGCTAGTGTTGCAGCGCTTAAATTAGTTAGCGCTAGGTTGTTGTAGAGCACTTAGATAAGTGCTTAGAGGGTTACTCTTCCTTGATTAACAAGCTCTATATAGGCTAGGGTAAGGATCCCTTAATCTACTATATTATTAACCTATATAAAGAGGTTCTAGATTACTAATAACTTTAATACCTAATCTAATAAGCAGGCTTAGTACTAAGCTATTTAGAGCTTATACTACTTGCTTGTTGTGTTAGATAGCGCGATATTTGTTAGCATGTTAGGCTTAATAGGTTTATTCTTAAAGTGGTTTTTAGCATCTAGAGCCTTAGGGTCTACCTCTACCTAGATCCCTTTAGTTAGGGCATGGTATCTAAATTAAATATACTAGGTGGGCTAGTTAGTTAATCTAGTAAGTAGGATATCCCCCTTTAGGATTTGGTTGCTTATAGTAGAAGAGTAATAAGTAAGCTTCTACTTAAGAAATAGTATAAAGAAAGAGTAAAGCTTTGCTAGCTTAGTGTCTAAGTTAAACAATACGCTTAAATAGATAGGACGATCTTTAATAAGGTAAAGCGCAAACTAGGCTTATAACTGTAGAAATTTAGATTACTAAGGTTAGGAATAATTTAGGAGATAGATTATTAGATTGTATCTACTACGATCGGACTTATATATATAGAGCTTTAGCTACCCTTACTAGAAGGTGAATAATTAGTAAACCTTCCTTACTAGAGCTCCTGCTTTTTGTTAGGCGCTTAGTAGTAAGCTAGTAGTTAATTAGATAGTAGGTTATATAGGGGTATTAATTAGGATTGATTGGATTAGGATGCTCCGTGATCTAGTTAATATCCCTCCTGCAACACTAATATATATAGAGAATAGCTTACCTATAGTTAGGATAGGTATGTTCTTCTTATCCTTTTATACAAGACCTATAGGTGTAGGAATCTTATCCTTTTCTATACAGACGCGCACTCCTATATGCCTTTAAGTTATATAGGATACCTTTTGGATGCCCTACCTACCTAAGTTGTTATAGCTAGTAGAAGAGGATATAGTAGTAGAGGCAACTTTATAGCGTAGGCGCCTAATTAGACCCCTTAAAAAGCTGCTTATATAATCTAAAATATTTAATCTACTCTAATAGATCTAATAATTGTAATTCTAAGAAATCTTGTAATAATAGCTATTATAGGTGGCGCAATATCCTTATTTAGTGGGTGGTGGATTTTGGTGTTGGTGGGCGCTCGGTGGGGGTGGGCGCTCGGTGGTGGATCACGTTACCCACTGTAGATGCCCCGCGAATTGTCCCGCACTCGACGGCCAAACTCGGACACTCCACACGCAGTCAGGCACGATGTCTGGGCAAAAAACAAAAAAAAAACAATCTCTGCCTGTTCGCGTGCCTTGATGACCCAGTTTGACACTTAGTCTTTGTTGAAGCCCTCTCACGCGATGAGCTGGTGACAAGTAGATGCTGTCTTGCCCCTAGCATCAGCCGTCTACGCTAAGCAAGATTTGAATACGGGTTGTGCCCTAGACTTGATTCTTTCATGTCTGCAGAGCAGTCCTCGTTCCGTCGCAGAGCTCAAAGCTACTACGGTACCGGTACCCCGCCATCAGTCACCATGGCCCCGACAAACATTGTACACCTGCCCAATGGCCAGAACCTAACCGTCAGCCCCGTCTTTGGCGGTCTCTTCTTCAAGTCGAGTGATTCCGCACACGCAAACTCACCGTTTCCCACTGGTTGGACCATTGTCCTGAACTCGGAGGATGACCTGGACTACGAGCAGCAGGGCGACCAACAGAAGGAAGGAGAAGAGAAGGACAGTTTCCCACCTCGCAATGTGCATCGATTCAGGAGGCCGACTCTCAAGGGCGACCATCTCTACATTTCCTCCATCTCCAATCCGAACAGTAGTGAGTTCAAGGCGGCTGCCTCGCCCACCCGCCAGATCGCCATGATGCTCTGGGCCACGCTGTATTGGTACTTTCATCAGCCTGAACCTACGCTTCAAATCACAAACTCCATCTCGCAAAATACAGCTGAGCCAGGGAAGCCAAAGGGAGAGTGGAGGATAAACATCAACAGGGAAGGCATCTTCAAGGGCAAGGTCGTATTGCCAAAGTTGGAGCGCATGGGCTTGGTCGCCTCCGAAGACTCGACGGTGGGGTGTGCACAAGAGGACAGCTGCCCAGATGGTTGGACGAGAATGTTTGTGAGTCGGAGGACGTTTTGGCAACTCGACCCCAGAATCTACCTCTTCACACTGTCACCCCTGTCGAACTCGCCTTTTCCATCCGGCTCACCATACCCCTCACGACCATCATCGCCAACCGCTACACATGAGCCTCGTAAAGAACAGCAAATCGATCAAGCTTCCCCAGGTCTATGGTCACCCTCGGCGCCTGGGCCATTCCATTCGAGCTCTCACCTACCGACGTATTACCCACCTCCGCCCGCCCAATACGTCTTCACAAACCATGTGCGACACCCGATACGGCCCAAGCCACCGCGACAAGGCGAAATCTTCTACACGAGATATATTCCCAGTGTTGGACAATACCTATCTTTCCGGGTCGCGTCCTGCTCTTCAAAAGCGCTTCGTCACCGTGGCCCTACCTCGGCAGGCGTGTCGACCCCTAACCGCAACAGTGCCATATCCGTGTCCGATTCCATCGACGCGACCGTGGACTCTGTAAACGTTGAAATGTCTGATTCCCAGTACCTTCACAAGTGGATGAACGATGCTCGTGTATCGCACTTTTGGGGCGAGGCGGGACCCATTGAACACCAAGAAGAGTTTCTTCGTAACGGCCTTCGGTCCAAGAATTCTTTTCCCGTCATAGGGTGTTGGGATGGCAAGCCGTTTGGCTACTTTGAGATATACTGGGTCAAGGAAGATAATTTGGGGAAGTACTTGCCCATGGTCAGCGACTACGATCGTGGGTTTCATTGTCTCGTTGGCGAGCAAGAATTCAGAGGGGCACACAGAGTCAAAATCTGGCTCAGTGCACTTGTGCATTACTGCTGGCTGGCAGACAACAGAACCGAAAGGGTGATGCTTGAGCCTAGAGTCGACAATGAAAAGTATCTTTACCCCCGCACCTTGGTTGGGCGTGCTTCTAACAGCATACAGACTCGCAAACTACCTGCAAGAAGCGGGCTTCTACAAGGAGCGCGAAATCAGCCTTCCTCATAAACAAAGTAATTTGTTCAAAATCAATAGGGACGTCTGGAAGGGACCAGCATTGTAGAGCAAAGCCTCGGCACTGGCAGAGTGTTGACAGAGGATACGAGCAGAGCCGCCTGCATGTCTTTTCTATGGTTTTGTGCCGCAAGCGGATCCTCGGATATCCTTACGGGACAGTTGGCGCGTTTTGATCAATATACATGGCATCGGAGTGATCAGACTACTGGGATGCAAATTATAAAAGACTATGGCGCACTCGAATTGTGAAGGTCGCCATGTCGGGTAAACAAGGAACAATGACGAGGGTTGAGATGCAAGGATGCTTCGTGTGTGAACACGTTCGACGTTCTCCGGAAAATTTCAGGCCGATAAGACTTGAAGTATACGTGGTATGTGCATGGTGGATTTCCGTGGCTCTACTGGACAGCCATGAATGGCTATCCAGGCCATGCTTGAGCACGCTCCACAGGAAAGAGAGTTTGATGAAGCCGCGGATAAACATCGTCTGGTCCGACAACAGTGGATGGTTTCTTTGCATTTCTTCAACACGGAAAACGGATTGGCCGCTGTGACAGGGCGAAATCGAGAAGCCATACCGGTATGTGTTGAGGGTAGGTAGTAGACGTGGGCGGGTTGGCCTTGGTGCAAAGAGGCCCGCCCATCCCCGCCCATCCCACCCGCACCCCCACCCCCCCCCCTCGTTCACGCGCGGGCGGCGCCCACTATGCATGGAGCTAAACGTGGGGGGGTTTTTTCTTTTAGCGGGGCTGGAGGGATTCGTCGATGAGGACGACTGAAAACAAGAAAAAAAAAAAGGAAAAAAAAAGGTGGGAACGTGTGAACCCCACGTCACTTGGTACCGGTAAACTTATTGGCCGAGCTAGACAAGCGCGGCTATCGCTCAGGAAATAATACTCTAGCACGTCTGTTGCCGGATAGGTAGATGCAATCAATCCTCCTCTTCACGACCTTGGCGAAACTTGATCATCTGCTCAATCGAAAGGCCATTGTTGTTGGTGTTGTTGCAGACTACCTCCTACCCCAATTGCTTACTGGACTGGTACTATCTATACTTCCAGTCCATCCCTCACATACTCCGCCAACCCCTCGCCGCCAAAATGACCAACACCACCACCGATTCGGCGCTGGACATACAATCGCAAATCAGCGCGACCAAATCCAGAAATGGCGCAACCATCTTCGATTCCTACCAGACATCGCTCACAGGCCGGTATTGCAGCGCGGAGATGTCACAGCTCTTCTCCCAGCGTTCGCGTCACTCGACCTGGCGCAAACTGTGGCTTTTCCTTGCGGAAGCGGAAAAGGAGCTTGGCATTGAGAATATCAGTGATGAGGCGATTGAACAGATGAGGAGCCATTTGATGGTGACAGATAGCGACTTCGAGGTTGCAAGGGTCGAGGAGAAGAAGAGGAGACACGATGTGATGGCACATGTGCATGCCTTTGGAGAGGTCGCGCCCCAGGCGGCGGGGATTATACATTATGGAGTATGCCAGATTCCCTGTTTGGAGATGGGTATATAAGGCAAAAAGAGATAACAACTGTACCTAGGCAACCTCGTGCTACGTGACCGACAACGCCGAGCTCATCCTTATGCGCGATGCCCTCGACCTGCTCCTTCCCAAACTCGCCAAAGTCATCTCCAACCTCTCCCACTTTGCGGACAAGTACAAGTCCCTCCCTACGCTCGCCTACACCCACCTCCAACCCGCCCAGCTCATCACGGTCGGCAAGCGGGCCGCCCAATGGGCACAGGACCTCCTCTTCGATCTCGACGCCCTCGAGCATGTCCGCGCTGGTATGCAATTCCGCGGCGCCCAGGGTACCACCGGCACACAAGCCAGTTTCCTGGAAATCTTCAACAACAACAGTGCCAAGTGCGACCAGCTGAACGAGTTGCTCTGCAAAAAGGCCGGCTTCCCATCCTGCTACCCCGTCTCCACACAGACGTACACGCGCAAAGTCGACCTCATCATCTCCAACGCCATTGCTGGTCTCGGTGCCTCTGCCCAAAAGATCACTGGCGACATCAGGCATCTCGCTGCCTGGAAAGAACTCGAAGAGCCGTTTGAAAAAGACCAAATCGGAAGCTCAGCAATGGCATACAAGCGCAATCCCATGCGCAGCGAACGCATCTACTCGCTATCCCGCGAACTTCTGTCCAAGCCTGCGAGTTTTGCAAACACCCTCTCCGACCAGTGGATGGAGCGTACCCTCGACGACAGCGCAATCCGTCGTATCGACATTCCCGAAATGTTCCTGCTTGCCGACGCCATCTTGTTGTCCCTTGACAATGTCACATCCGGCCTCGTCGTCTACCCCAAACGCATCGATGCGCGAGTCCAGGAAGAACTTCCCTTTATGATTACAGAAAGTATCATCATGAAGCTAGTTGCAAAAGGCGAATCGCGCCAAGAAGCCCACGAGCAGATTCGGGTGCTCTCACACGAAGCCGGCGCACAAGTGAAGCACGAGGGCAAGAGTAATGATCTTGTGGAGAGGATTCGTCAAACGGAGTTTTTTAAACCTATTTGGGGAGATTTAAACGACATGCTGGATGCGGGGCTCTACACGGGACGTAGCGCTGAGATTGTGGAGAAGTTTGGGAAGATTGTGGAGGAGAAATTGAAGCCTTACAAGGGGTATATTGAGAAGGCGGGGGTAGCTGAACTTAGTGTTTAGATCAACTCCAGAAAGAAGCAAGGGAAATGGGCCATGGGAAATAGAGGATGGAGGAATGCAGCAGAATTCTGCTGAGCGTACTCATGTAAAAGGGCTAGACAAAAAGTGTAATACTGTGCCATAATGCCCCTCGGAGACCAAGGATGTAGTAGCAATATGCCCTATCACGCCGTCCAAAATGCCTAAACCAAATGGCCAAAATCAAGAGGTATAAAACGCCGTCGAAGATATGAGTGGCAACAACGTGACTTCTTAACGTCTTCGTCAAAGCGAAGATTCACACACGCACACGACGCACTCGTCCCATCTCCCACATCACTCTAGGCCCCAACTCCATACTTGCGACCTCTTCGTCTCGGTAGCGCACTCTCCATACTCGTACCTGCCACCACAGTCGAAGGCACCATCACTTTAGGCGCAGGAATGCCTTTCTTAGGCGTAGCATCGCCGAGGGCCATACGCAGCGCATTTTCCTTTCCCTCCAACAATCCCGAAGACAAAGCAGCCGTCTGGGGCAGCACGACCTTCTTCGGCGCCGCAAGTCTGCTCTTACGGGACGCCGTCGCCGTCGCCGTCACCGATACACCCACAGGCGCGACATCGAGGTGCGGCAACTTGCCCTCTGTCAAATTAGATGCGACAGGCATTCTCTTAATCTTGCTTGCTTTGGGTCGGGGAAGTTGTTGAGGCTGTGCTGGGAGCGCGCTCTTTTTCTGCGCTGCTTTCTCTTTCTCCTCCTGCACTGCTTCTGGCAAAATACTGGCAGGTGTCAAGAGACCCTTTCCAGGCGTCCCATTCACTGTCCTAACGCGCCTGGCCTTTGGCGGCGCATTTTTGTCGACTTTGCTCCTCTTCGTCCTCGGCGTGGTGGAAGCTGGGTCCATGCTGAGTTCATCCGGTGTAGCTAGACTCTCTGCCTCAGCAAGCGTCTCGGGACTTTCCTGGTAGTAGGCTAATGTCTCATCCCATCGTACGTTCTTTCCTATGATGATTTCTTTTGTTGTGTCGTCGATGGGAGGAAGACTTGTAGCGTCGGCAGCGAGCTTGAAAAGTCGGACTGTGACACCAAAAGCGCCTTGTTTATTCTTACGCGTGTTGGCTCGGGTCAACGTAGCAAGCTCCTGCGCATCTGACTTCTTTAAGACAACGACTTCTGCACCATCAGCGCGGCGTATGTTGATCTTGGAAGTTTGCTGTTGGTTAGATGCAGTGGCGGATGTAGACGCTGGCGCTGGTAGTCGCGACTTCTTCGCCCTTGAGGAACGTCTGGTGGAACCATGCTGCGATTTCTCTTCCGGTGAGCCTGGATCGTCTGCAGGATGAGGGACGGGTGACAACTCAGCACCATCGGGAATGCTGAATGAAAATGTCTGAGATAGATCCGTAGTGAGCTCACCATCGAACTTGGAAGGTGAATTAGGGTCCTTATCCTCAAGTGCCTTCCGTGGTGAGGCCAGAGCGTTGCGGATGACATCCGAATCACGACGGTTCTGCAGTGATTCTCGTCGATGTGTGGCCGCTTTCTCGGCCTTACTTGCGGCAGCGCGAGTGAGGAAGTCCTTGAGGATGGCTGTATCATCGTCAATAGCAATGGTCATAGTAACGTCGTCTAGGCCGGACTCAGCACGGGACGGTGGTGGGGGTGAGTATAGTTTGCGCGGTGTTGGCTGGATTGATGTAGACATTGCCGGTGTGAAGGAGAGTGTGAGACCGTTTGTGATGTCGTCCTTCCCGAGTTCTGCAGAATTCTGGTGATGATCTTTTTGAGACAATTGTGACAAGAGTTCAGTGTTCGCATTGTCTAGCAACTCTCCGTGGCCTTTGACTTCCTGCGTCTCAGTGTCCGCCACGGCACCAAACTCTGCATGTGGCTCCGAGGTGGTAGAAGTGGTGTCTTTTGGTTTGGTTCCTGCTTTGCCAGCGTGTATCTCCTGGTCTGGTGGTGACGATTGCTCATCGCACTGTCGTTGGATATCCAACTGCAAAGAAGCTTCAGTGAAGTCTTCGTCGCCCTCGGCCGACAACTCCTCTCCAGATGACTCCATTTCAAGTGAATCCTCATCTACATGAGGTGTCGCAACAGAGTCAGACATTTCGGTGTCACTGAGCTCACCATCGGCATCCACTTGAAGAACAGCTTCTGTAGGCAAAGGTGGGTATGCGACATGCACGTGGCTGCGAGCCTCGACTTCAACACTTTCGAGAATAGCATCGGAGAAGACCAGACTCTCTGTGTGAGAGTCATCAGCAAGGTTACGTCCTGCCGCCGCTCTTGCTTCAAATTCACTGACGGTATTGCTCGAAGCATTCGGTCTCGTAGTGGGGTCGCCATCGAGTGGTAATTGGGGATAAAATATATTCTTGCAAGATGCAATGTGAGTAGTGGAGGGGCTCTTAGCTGGCGAGCGGAAGAAGTCGGCAAGCATAGCGGCTTCTGTGGGCGTAGAATCCCTTGTGCTGGTCTCTTCTTCTCGCTCGTGCGTACTCTCGTAGTCTGACAGGCCCCCAGGTTCTGCCGCGTCCATAGTCAAGGGAAATGTGCCTTTTCCATTGTCCACTTCTGGTACGGAAACCAAGGCCTTTTCAATGTCGTATCTTGTTGGGGACATGTTGATCTCGGTAGAATTGTCTTGTTCTTCATCCACATGGTGATGGTGACTGTCATCGTTGCCAGTTCCGGTGGCCAGTTCCATGCTTTGGGCGCGCATAGGTCTCTTCCCTAGGTACGATGTTAGCTTGCCTGTCGTGTGGCGCTTCTAGTGAGGGACGGACTAGGCAGGACACTCTTCCTTCGGTCCCAGCGCGTCGCCTTGAACGCGCGCTTGGTGCCATTGAGTACAGCCTTGGTCTTCTCCATAGCCTTGGGACTCATATGTTGTCGTCTCTTGACCGGTCTTGATAGTGCATCTTGTTCCTCGGCCTCGGCCTCCTGGTCTGGGAGCGCATCCGAGGCACGCGACCTTAGGCCGTGCCTTCTCCAGATCTTCTTTTCCTTGCCCTGACCGACTTTTGAGATTTGGGGTTTGCGCTCCCAGCCACGTGGGATTTTGGCGACAGGTAGCGCGGTGGGATCGAAAGAGGTCGCATCCTTGTCGTCCCATGTCTGGTTGAAGGCGGTTGTTGTGGTGGTGGTTGGTCTTGTTATTGTTGTGGTGGAAGCTGTGTGCCTCGTCTTGCGTGGCAAAGGCAGCATGGTGGCGCTGGTATCAAAGAATAGAATGCGATGACTAAGTATATCAATGTTGCAGCAACATGAGGCTGTCGTGAATCCTGATTATTTGCTGCTGATGTTGTTCTGGTTGTTAGGCAGGTGCGCCATGATCAAAACAACAGGGCAAGTCACGCTAGCAGGGGGTCGGTTCCCTTGTCTTCAGTGCGGGTTCGTGCACGCTCGGGACCGAGGCCGGGAGGTGAGGGCTTGGCAAGTTGGAGGCTTGGAAAGTTTTGGTTGCGTAGGGGAACTATCGCAGCCACACCACCATCTCTATCACCACCAGCCACCTTCTCCTCCTCCTCCTCCTCCTCCAGCCTGAAACCCTTCTGTATACAGTGTCAAAATGGTCCCAAAGCCCCAGGGCACCGCCGTTCAGTCGGTCACGCACCGGCCACTGCCACCCCTCCCGAAACTCCGCGTTCGTCGACCAAACAAGCCAGAGACGAATCCATGCCTGGGTGCAATGTCCTCGGTTTTAGGTAGGTGAAAGAAGCAAGGACGGAAGGACTCAAGGAAGAAGCCACCTGTGCACGAGATCTCAATGGCTGACTTGGTGGATCTTGCAGGTTGTTGGGCTTCTTCAGGATACAGCGTTACGGGCTGTGCACAGCTTGAGCAGAAGCTGCGACTATGCATGGATGCACCAGTATGTCTGCCGAATACTTGCCATACCGCCATGTCTCTGACTAGTCTTCAGCGCAATGCAAACCAAAAGAAGAACAACATCAACTACCACCTATCGAGAATGTACCCTAAGATTGTCGGTCCTCACAAGCGGGACTAGACACTAGAATGACATGCTGCGATGCGAATGTACATTACACATATACCCTACAGTCCTACGATATACCTCCGAGACTGCGACCATAGGCGGCGTTGATCATCTTCAATAATCTTCTCAGACAGGCATCCATTCCTGCCGAAAACAAAGGTGCATGACGAATCTACAAATGCTCAAGCAATCGTGTCTCATTGCGTACAAACATCGAGCAACCAGCCATCTTTACTAGATCCTTTGGCCTGCCAAACGCCCTCCAATGGAGAAGTCTGCCAAACAAGGCAGTGTCTGCATGTCATCCCATGTGCATGTTGTGGAGAAACACATCTTTGCGCGTTTCAGCCTCCCTCGATTCCAAATATTGGCCTCTGACAATCTTGGCGCCCAATTGAGACAGACCATCGATGCTGGGAATTAGAGCAGTAATATCTAATCATGGCGCATCGTAGGCCGGATAGGCTCAAGCTTTTGGCTATGTTTATGACCTATGCAAAAACGCCACATGCATGCCAAGCCCAATCACTTTACACAACACTATTCCTGAATGGGTCACTCCCATTTCTTCTGACAGCCGTTGGCGTACCCGGCGGCGTTGCAGCCCCCTTACAGTGGTCCCGATCCTGTGAAGTTGCAATACAGGGCGGAGAACTGCAAGTATTTCCACTTACGGCGACTAGGATTCGGCCACAGCTGGATCTATTTTCTTCCTTGGTCCACGTTAGCTCACCCGCATGACCTTGCTGTGTACAATGCAACGGTGTCGATAAAGAGGGAAATCGAATTTTAGGACTTCGAACGGTCATTGCCAGGGAGCTTTAGGCTTACCCTTCCTTCTGTGTTGGGGAAGCTTGATCTGCTCAACCACGCTGTCGGATCTGAGTTCTTACACCACCGAATTGCGTAGCGATCTCTTCACTGGCTTTGAATTGGTGATTATCGCATTTCTTTGTGATGTCATGTTCAAGATTTTTTCCAACCTGAGTTCGATTATACGCTGAGTCCCTTTCTCTACGCCGATGGAAGCACAATGATGGTCCCCTCACACCTAACGTGTGCCATATTGGCACTTGTTTTCACGACAACCGCTGTCTTGCAATGTGGGTTACCGCAACCAACAGTCTACAATCCTGCAGTCGATATTAGGAGCCCAGCACCTACCAGAGCACCACAACTACATGGTCTTGGACCTGTCAAGCGACAGAATATTCAGGCGATAGAATCTGCGCTTTTCTCTCAGGGCTATCACGTATGCCATACCTCGAGTTTCTAACACGAACATAATAGTCTGCTAATAATTGTAGAACCCCCCATAACATGTCAGGACACGGCAGCAACCTGCGCAACAAATACCTATCTTGGCGTCCACGGCTGCTGCAATGCGGACGCTCTATCTTCCGGTGTCATTCCAACCTCATGCGTTCCATCCACTGCCATGTCAGCCTCTTGCACAGACGCTGCATGCACCTCCAACGCAGCAATCACCAAATGTACTATCGCAGAATCAGAGCAATGTTATCAATACCTCATACAATACAGCAAAACGGTGATGACACAGCACGGCTGCAGATACTCCTCCTTCAAGCTCACTGCGCATCGTAGCGGAGGCTCCATAAAGTCCAGTTCAACGGGCGATTCAACAACCGTAACCGTAACAAAGAACCCCTCATCCACACTCACGTCATCACAGTCTACCTCAGCAAATACTGCTGCGAGACCCAGTATCGAGATTATAGTCGGCTATACGGTTGGCGCGTGCACTTTCTTTAGCATCATCGCGCTTCTTCTATTTCTCGTCCATCGTCGCCGTCGTTTCGTAAAAGAAAGCAAGATACAAGCTGCGGCCAAGTCGACACATTCCGACTCGTACTACCATACGCAGGATTTAATGACCCTGTATAATCCGTTAGTCTCGCCTAGTGGGTGGTCAGAAGCGGATGACAAGGCCTGGCAGCAGTGGAGTACTATAGGCATGAATCCAGCGAAGACATTTGCGCCTATGTGTTCGGGGGTGATGGAGGATAGGAGTGGGGTTATGGAAATGGATGGGACGAACACGCGGGCTGAGGCGCCAGGGTGACGGGAGAGAAAAGACCAGGCGTTTTAATCCCTTTACACAAGACTATGGATTCACTCTAGCGGAGTGAGGCGAATCTATGTGTTTTAAAGCATGGCTTAGATTAGAATACTCGTTGCCGCGTATTTAACGAATGCGATTTGCTGGCTTGACTCGGGCTACTTAATCAGCTTCAAACCGAAGGCCCCTGGAGCGTTCGGAGAAAGAGTTCCGCAAAAAGGTGGACGTATGAAAGGGCTGGAGTAAGAAAGTTTCACGCAGCCACTTTTGCCTTTTCACTAAAGACTAGCTAGCTGGTAGATATGCTGTGAATTGGGTATTGAGTGTGCGATCGTGTTGATGACCTAGTGAGCGAGCGTAGCCTCTGCTCAATAGGCACAACACCAAGATCCAAGTCTCCAAAATTGCTTGACGCAAATCTCTCAACAGCCACAACACAGGCAATGCGGCCCATCATGCACGCCCCAAGAGAACGCTCAGGTCCAGTACTTATCCCTGATCAGCCTCAAACCCTCCTCCGAGAACGCCGTCACACCCCGGTCCTCAACCCTTGTCCTCGTCCTGAGTGCCCTCTCTAACAATCCAGTCTTGGGGTTGACTCCTTGATGCTCGAATTGCTCTCTCTTCACCAGACTACCCTCGATTGCCCACTTGGGTACTGCATCCTCGTACTTGACGCCCTTTTCTTTCTCCATCATCTCCAGCAAGTCTCCAGTCCGCTTTCCATGCATTTGCTCACTCGTGTACATTGTGCGAGCGAATGCGCTCACTGAGTTCCTCACCGCGTCGTTCCTGCAGCGCCAAAGTATGCAATTCATTGCTTCTTCGATAGACGGTACTGTGAAGAATCGCGCATCGAAACAAGCAGTGCCCAGCGTCTCGTATGCAGAAGGTTTGATAACTGGGTTGGGCTGTGCATGCAGAGCTGCAGTGAGATGATGATTGAAGCGGACCGAACAAAGGCTTGCTGCTAGACCGGCTAATTTCTGAACCCGTTCGTTGAAGCTTTGAACGCCGGCGGGGAAGACGAGGGTGATTTCGTCGGATTGCGTGTATGCGACTGTGGCTTGGGGGAAGAAGGCCAATAGATCTGTGCAGGTGGATGTTATGGCGTCGTGAATGCGCTGGTCGAATGGACGACAGAAATGCTTGGTAAATTTTGAAAACGAGTGGCCGTCAAGTCGGAGCAGGGTGGGTCTAGAGGGAGGGAGGGTGAAGTCGAGAGCTGCTTCATAATGCTTCATGCGGTCTGCGAGTTGGAGTGGCTTGTCGGAAGCTGTGGGTGGGGCGACGATTTCGGGTTGAATTACAGTGCATGTTATTTTGGACAGCTCAAGGCTAACTTTGCTACCCGTGGTTTCCATTGTCAGAGTTTCGACAAGTTAGTGTTTGAGTGTCATCTCCATGAGCTTTGTAGTTGGAGGAACTGATTTAAGTCGCTTGCCTACTGACTCATCAACGCACGTCATACCGATGTCTCTCCATTTTTCTGATGTCTCTTGAGCGTGATGGTTTGATTTTCACGACGGATTTTATTAATGATGGAAATTTTTAAATTGACCATGATGCTCGTTGTTTCATTATGGTGATCATATTCACACGATCTCTCACGATCAGGCCCTAATTCGATGCAGTGCATCGTCTCCGTAAAGCTTCCAACTCTTCGTACGCCGTCTTGAATCTCGCCTATTACAAGCATGACAAAATTGGCTTCAACTTATTGATAATCTGTGTCTGCACAGCCGCGTCATTGACCGTAGTCTTGTCAGACGCGTCGCCCGGACTGATGGTAACGTAACAGTTGCTTCCTCTGAGCACTATGACATCCGCCTCCCATGGTAGACGCGTGCTGCCACACCATTCCGCATCACGTGAGCTCAGCAGGCCTGAGTTGATTCGCGTGAAGATGTATTTGAAATCGCTCGCCTTATTGCACCTGCTATCTGAGACTTCAGGAAAATTGACGTTTAGATAGGTATCATCTGGGAGATATGGCTTTCCGGAATTGATGATAGTATTAGTGACGTTCAGAGCAAGATCAGCGTAGACCTTGCTGTAGAGAGGCGTAGGCGCGTTCCATCCAGTTGGATCGCCACTCACGCCTGAAAAGGCAATAGCAGGGATTTTGGCAGTGTGGGCAGCATATGTGGCGGCGCCAACTGTCCCGGAGAAGGGAACCTGTACAGCGACGTTCGATCCTACGTTTGGTCCCGTGAGAGCGAGTTCAGGCTTTGCTCCGTTCCAGAGCTTAGGAGCAGTAACGTCGATGCCTTGCTTGATAGCCGTGACGGGGAAGCTGTTCACGTAATGGAGGCGTGGGTCGCTGGCGTTGAAGCCTGTTGCCGGGCTACCACCGGGGCAAGATGCATGAATACACCCATCTGAATCGACAGTCTTCGGGGGAGCATCAGAGGACCCTGTTGGTGTTAGAGTGTGTACATGGGCCGGAGTTGGATTGCATGGTACTGACCCTTGCCACTCTGGTTCTCTGCAGGGCCAGAAAGGATGACTTCTTGGCCAGCAGCACTCAAGGCATTGAAAAAGGTCCTCAAGTTGATCTCACTCCATCCATCGTCGTTGGATTGGACGATTCGAACACCTTGAGTAAGGGGCAGGGCCGCAGCGACAAAGAACAGGTTGGCTCGCATGTTGAATGAGCGAGCTGTATGATGCGAGCGAATGCGACTGAGAGATGGAATCTCAAAAGGAACTGTACACTTGATCAAAGTGCTAGCAGGTTGAATCAAGCCTTTGAGCTGCGGATCAGGCCGGTTATAACTATTCAGATGCAAAACCACCTGAATAAAAGAGCCGTTGCGGAACCCTGTTTAGGCTCCACTCATACCATGATGTTTGGGAAAAATCCATGCAGGCTTTTGGATATTTAGCGGCAACGTGTTGATTGCAATGATCTGATTTGTAGGCCGACTAGATCGTTCAGGCAACGGATGCCGGCTTTCGCACTGTGAATGGTGGTTGGGTCCGATGCCGAAACACCTCGCCTCCGAAAGGGTGAAATTCTCCCGGCAGAGACGACTAATCAAGGCAAGCGTGTCCGAAACATATTTTGCACGTGTGAAGATGCAACGTCTTCGTTCAATTGCTGGCGTGTATCTACACAGTAGGTGCAGTATTGTAGTACCTCGCACAGAGCAAGGCGTTACCGGGTAGGTACTTGGTATTCGAACACCTATGCACTGCATTCAGATCCGGGCTCCTTCTCCTTCCACCTTCCACATCTGATATCCTTAGCCGTCCGGCCGGCACTCCGACCACCAGCCTGCCCTGCCACTTGTTCGTTGGAAATCATGCCACCATATGCGCATATATATATATATATATATAATAAGCATGGAAGCTTGCATTGCGCCAAGCCTCCACATTCAGCAGGTGAGGGCGTGGAGAAAGTCTCCCTGCTGATTCTTAGACTGCACCCTGCACGATGGCCCGTTGGAGCTAAGCGCTTAATAGCAGCCAGACTGGGCAACGGGTGTGTATGCGCCGTGTGTCCGCTGTTGGCTTCGAGATGCGCCCAGAAGCCCCAAACGCCGGGTCAATGAACGACATATTTCTGACCGTGATTTGGGAGGCCAGACTATACGATATGGGCCGGTTTAACAGGTTGCTGCTGGTAGTAGTCTCCAGCCGCACCTGCGTGGTACGGTGGTAGGTACTGGTTCTCGAGTTCTGCAGCTTCGCTTGTAGGCGAAACGTAGGCGGTATTCTGTTGGTATGGCGGTGCGTCGTGGAGCTCGGTCGGATAAGCAGCCGGTGTGGGATTAAGGGCTGGTGCATACTGGCCTCGCTGGCCTGCTTTTTTCGCGCGTTGGTAGCCGACGATCGAGTATATGAGGAGACCGAGAAAGGAAAGACTGTGACAGGTTAGGCGTCTGATGCCAATGCAGAGCATAGTTGTGCTAAACATACAAGACGAAGATGCTGAAGCCGATTCCTACGGCGCTTGCGCCTCTTCCCACGGCTACGAAATCCATGATCAAAACAGCCGCCCAAAAGCTTGTTTGAAAGCAATTCATGATCAGAAAAGTTGCCGGCTTGAGCGCATCGCGGAGGAAGAGAACGATGGCAAGGATATCTATCAAGAGAACGATGACGATGAATAGTATGAAGACAACAACAGCTCTACACGGTATCAGCGAGGGACTTGGCATGATGGTGTCGCAAAGCTGTATAGACTTACGCCACGGCCGGCTTGATCATGTCTTTGTACTCGTCAACCGCTCGCAGCGTCCAACCATATACAGCTATGATCAAGACCATGATAAGTACTCGCACGATCCAAAACGGCACGAGGATTCGCTTTTTCCAAAGAACCGGTTGTGGCGCCATGTTGAAGACGGGCGTAGAGTCAATTACTATGACAAAAGGATGTCTGAAAAGAAGTTTCCCATAAACAAGTGGTTGTTGGCAGCAGGCAGCAGGTTAGTAGGTCAGTGCAAAGAACTTTTCGATTAGATTAACGATCGCCGTGCGGCCGAGATCTTGAACTCAGGGGAAGATGCTCTGCCCTGAAAGCGTGTATGAAACGCGGCTAAGTGCATAGGCCTGTGCATCCTCATTTCCTATGTGGCGAAGTTGCACGTTCAGCTATACCCGTATATGCACATCATGATAGACTTGCGGGTGTGCGACGAAGACAGAAGCCAGGAAGCGTTGGGCCCAACAGTCAGCATATATACTGTCTGTGTACATTCACAGGAATCATGTCAGACTGGAGGGTTGACAGATAACACGTGACAGGGTCCAAGGCCCGATCAGCCTGGGCACATAACGTACTGGTCAAAAACAGAAGGATCGTCCAGGTGGGGGCGCAAGAATCTCCGTTAACGTGCCCGTTGGATGGAGAAGGTTTCTGGCTGCCCTACCTACCTACTATAGCTCTAGCCTACCCACTCTACATGTGTACTGTTAGGCCTGGGTGGGCATGGGGAAAAAGACATCTGATCCATCTTGGTGGGGCTGCAGGTGGCCGCTGGCACGGGAGACAGTACTGTGTAGAGCCATGTCGTGCGTATTGTATTGTATTGTATTGTATTGTATTGTACCTACCGTGTGCCCGCGATGGAGCCGATGATAAGGCCGATAAGGAGTGGACACCATGATGGACGCGTGATGCTTTGATACTACCTACTCTACTCCACTCCGACGCTGACGCTGTCGTGTATGGGTAGGCAGCTTCACGTATTCGCGCATCACACAGTACCACACCTTCTCCCAGACTATCTTGATCACTCCAAAACACCATCCTGTATCGCAAACATGGGCTCCAACCAGTCCAGACCTTCTGATGCAGCCATCAATGAGAAGCTCATCGAGCGACTCCAAGCTCTCCAAGTCAGGAATGATCGGACGACTATGAATGAGAAGGATGGCTTCGTGGTTGTTGGTAGCGAAGCTCGTATGTAAAGACATAGTACCCACTCTCTACCGAGATGCAGACTGAACTTCTGTGAAGCCCCAAAGTACACACCGAATGTCAAGTACCAACAAGATGTGTCGGCGGCCATTGTCCAGGAATGGGAACAGGAGCTCATGGAAGATCCAAAGGTACAACATCGCTCCGCTTCTATCTGATGGTACGGTACTGATATGGTTCCTGGCTTTAAGAACCGTCTTGCGCTCGCAGCCCTCAGCTCGAACCCCGCCAACGCCGTCCTTGCTTCCCGATCAGCGACCATTTTCGATACTCAGAAGTTCAATATCAAGATTCCTCTTGAGGGCTCACCGGTCACAAACCAGGCCTCGTCGGGCCGATGCTGGCTCTTCGCGGCTACGAACATATTTCGCATCGCCATTATGAACAAGTACAAGCTCTCCGAGTTTCAGCTCTCTCAGTCCTACCTATTCTACTGGGACAAGATGGAGAAGGCCAACTACTTTCTCGAGAGCATAATCGATACCAAAGATGCAGACATCGACAGTCGACTTGTTCAAGCACTGCTAGCAAGTCCAGTAGGCGATGGGGGTCAATGGGATATGGTCGCAAATATCGTGGAAAAGTACGGTATCGTGCCACACTCCCTCTATCCAGACTCGTACAATGCCGCCAACTCTTCGACTATGGACCGACTCATCACCACCAAGCTCCGCGAAGACGCTATCCGTCTCCGCTCCATCACCTCTAGTCGCAATTCCCTAGAGTGCATCAAAGCCACCATCGCAAGCGAGAAGGAGAAGATGCTACGAGAAATCCACCTCATCCTCACCCTTATGCTTGGTCCGCCACCTCCCCCAGATAAAGCATTTACCTGGGAGTATTATGACCAGAACGGCACATTGTGCACCGTCCGTACTCGCCCTACAGCTTTTGCAAAGGAATTATCAGACAACCGTACCATACGTGCCCTATCAGGCACAGATGTGCACTCCCTCTTCTCGCTCGTTAACGATCCTCGAAACCCTTACAACCGCCTCCTCAGCGTTAATCGTCTGGGCAATGTCTGGAACGGCAGACCAGTCACCTACGTCAACGTTAATATGAAAGTCATCAAGGACGCTTGCATTACCATGCTTAAGCGCGGCATTCCCGTCTTCTTCGGCTCAGACGTAGGAAAGTACTCGGACTCTACGAAGGGCATCATGGACACGGATCTATTCCAGTATGAACTCGGCTTTAACATCAAACTCGGTCTTAGCAAGGCGGAGCGTCTGATGACGGGCGAAAGTCAGATGACGCACGCGATGGTGTTGACGGGTGTACATGTCGTAGAGGGTAAGCCTGTACGATGGCGTGTGGAGAACAGCTGGAGTGACAGGGTGGGCGACAAGGGCTATTTCGTTATGAGCGACAAGTGGTTTGATGAGTTTGTTTATCAGGCAGTCGTGGATCCTAGTGTAGTCAACGCAACAGTGCGCAAGGTCTTGGAGCAGAAGCCGAAGATGTTGGACTTGTGGGATCCAATGGGTGCACTAGCGTAGCATGTGTCAGGACATGGGCCAACGTGGCCTAGGGCAGTTAGATTACGTGATTATGTTAGGACGCGAGGCTCCGCCGGCCCAAGGGACCCAAGCATAGTGTAGTGGAGCGTTCGTCACGTCTAAGGCAATGTGCGCTTGATGCGAAAGAGAGGGGGGGGGAGGTAAAGGAGTGTTAATTATTAATATCCTAAAGACTATTCAGGTCTCCTATATATATTTTATTTTTGTGCCTAAGTCTTATTTAGCTATAGTTTCCCTATATACTCTACTATATCCCTCCCTTATTTAGGAGTTTAGCTATTTTAAACTTCTAATTAAAAATAAAATATCTTGGTAAAATTATTTAGACGCAGGGCTCCACCAGCCCTAGAGTCCTAAACATAAGCTAGGGTGGCCTAAGCTAGGTAGATTACATAATTATAAGTAGTATAAATACCTATAAGATTTAATATATATAGTAATATTTTATTTAATATTTAATTACTACTTATTATCCTAATATACTATAAAACCTCTATCCTATCTATAAAGGACTTAGGCTTATACCTAAGCCTAGGTCTAATATAAGATAGACTAAGTCTAACACCACTACTAAGCGAACACACTAGACACCTATAAAAAGGCGTAGAGGGCTTATCTCTCCTTTAAGATACTAAATACTATTATTAACACTTATTATATTCTCCCTTAAGGCTAGTCTATAATATTTTAGTATCTTCTTCTAAATATACTATAATAGTAATAAGAGATAGACGCGCTAGATATTTAGAATAATTAGGTGCAACCTAATATAGTAGAAAGGCTAATATAACAGGTCTATAGATTAATAGAATAATAGGCTTAAGACTCTACTATAATAGCTATACTACATTAATAGAACAAGGAAATACGCAATTAGATTCTATCCTAACCCTCCTCTAAGCCTGCTAGGTTTAATAATCTACTACCTCTACCCCCTTCTACCTTATAACGCAAACCCTTCCTAGTTAGCTTGCTATATAATAGCACTAAGGTAAACCTTTCCTCCTAGTAAATAACTATAGAATTTAAACTGCGTGTAGATAAGGTCTTTATTAGGGATAAGGAGGTAAGGTTTATATATATTTAGTCCTAGCTATTACCTATAGTCTAGCGCGCTATAGCACTATACTTTAAGGATAGTAGATATAAGCGTTAGGATATAAGCAGGTTTCTTAACTACCTAGCGTTCTATTATAGTAACTATTATAGGCAGGAGCGCGCTTAAGTCACGTTAGAATACTTATATTAGGGCTAAAATTAACCTTTTATAGAGTTCTTTATAAATTTTATATAGCTCCTTATATAGTTAGGAGGTTTATACTAGGATAATAAATAAAAGCTTTTATAACTTTAGTAATCTCTTAATAGCTATATACGCTTAGTTTCCCTTAATAGGGGAGTCTCTAGGACAAACTATAATATAGCTATAGAGGAATATAAGACAATTATAGTAGATATTAAAATAGCCTCTCTAGAACTAGGTTTTCTTTAGGCTAGTAAGTCTAAGGAACCCTAGTAGAAGTCTACCTTAGATTAGGATAGTAATATAAATATAGTAGAAGTAGCAGCCTTATTAAGTGTACCTACTAAACTACTAATATTACGTCCTAACTAGATCCTATAGGACCTATTTAATGCACAGAAACTAGCAAAGGTTTACACCTAGTATAGATAGGGTGGTTATTTTGTGCGTGTATATCCTAATACCCTATTACTATAACTAGTAGGTATTAAGATAGTTATAGTATTAGTAAGCAGCCCTAATTTAGGAAACTAGCTACCCCTAACCCTAGGCTAAGTTAGTGGTATAAGGAGGACACTATAATAGAGGAATTATTAATAGCAGAGGCTATTAAGTATCCCCTAGATATTAAGGTAGGGTTAAATAATCCTCCCTTCTTTATTCCCCTCCTCCTAGGTAGAGTAGAGAATATATAAGTAATAGTTAATTTAGGGTGCTAGTATTTTAGTATAGTTAAGGAAAAGTTAGTAAGATAGATTAGTAGGACCTTTATTAATATTCCCTTACAACTATTATAATATACCTAGGGAATTACTAAGGGTACAAGAATTATATAGTTAGTAGTATTAGACTTTAATTTAGATAGTTAGTAGTCTTAGCTTTTAGCTTATATAGTACCTAGTCTTTCCTATTAACTAATACTAGGCAGACTATAGCTTTGTAGAGAGGGCGTTATTATAGACATTCTATAAGGTAAATTAATAATTAGGAAGGCGGGAAATATAGTAGTATAAGAGAGCAGGAGACGCCTATATACTACCTATATCTCTATTATCTTAGGTTTAGTTATAGCAGGGTTGCTAAATTAAGAATCCTAATAGGAAGATATATAGGTATAAATTTTTATAATAAATATACTAGATATATTATAAGTAATATATAACTTACGCCTAATAAAATATCTAGGAAGTATTAATAAGGGAAGTCCTATTAATATACACACTATCTATATTACAAGTAATATAGTTCCCTATAAACCTAAGTATAAAACTAGAAAGACAAAGTTACTACTAGAACTATAAGAGTTTAAGGACCTGTTTAACAAAGAGTTAGTAAGTAGTTTGCTACCTTATTAAGGTAGTATAGATTACTATATTTAGTTAATAACTCTCCTAGATAGAACCTAGCCTAACCCCCTATAGGGTCCCCTATACCCTATATCGCGTGACTAATTACTAGAACTAAGAATATAACTTACTAGATTAATAGACAAGGGCTAGATCTAAGTAAGCTCTTCTATAGCTAGAGCTCTAGTATTACTAGTAAAGAAGCTATTAGGTAGTTAGCGCCTTTATATAGATTACTAGATACTTAATAGCACAATAATATTAGACTAATACCTACTACTACTTATTAAGGAAACTTTGCGCACACTATCTAGTGCAAGTTAGTTTATAAAAGTAGATATTTACGCTACCTTTTATAAAGTTAGAATAGTAGAATATTATAAGTCCTTAATAGCTTTCTACACCTAGTTTAGGTTATATAAATAGTTAGTATATCTATTTAGTCTTAGTAGTATACTATCTACTTTCTAATAATATATTAATACTACGCTTATAGAGTTACTTAGATTATATATAATAGCCTACCTTAATAATATCCTAATTTATTTAGAAGGAGACTAGGTTAACTATATAGAAAAAGTAAAGCGTATACTTACGCTATTAAAAGAAGTAGGACTACACCTAGACTTAGAGAAATATGCTTTTAGTGTTAAGGAGGTACGCTACCTAGGCTATATTATTAAGGCGGGCAAATTACTTAGACCTAACCCTAAAAAGCTTAGGGCAGTATAGGAATAGGAACCCCCTAGGAATATAAGAGAGGTAAGGAGTTTTCTAGGTTTTGCTAACTTCTACTATAATTTTATTGTAAAGTTTTCTAAAGTAGCAGCGCCTTTAAACTAACTAACTAGGAAGGACACCCTATTTTAATAGGGAGAGGAAGAATAGAGTGTATTTAATATACTAAAAAAGGTATTTATATCTAGACTAGTACTAATATAATAGGACCTTACTAAAGAAATATTATTAGAAGTAGACTATTTAGGATACGCTCTTAGGGGTTGCTTATTATAAAAAGTTAGGGGCGTCTAGCGCCTAGTTACTTACTACTCTATAGCACTAACGCTAGAGAGACAAAACTATACTATATATAATAAGGAATTGCTAGCTATTATTAAGTATCTTAAAAGCTAGTTAGTAGAGTTATAGAGCGTTTATAAACTATTTATAATATTTATAGACTATAAAAACCTAGAGTACTTTACTAGCCTTTAAAGCTTAAGCAAGTAATAGTGCTGCTAGGTAGAGGAACTTTTAAAATATTAGTATATCCTATAGTATAGACCTAGCTATCTTATAGGATAACCTAATACCTTAAGTAGGTAACTATAAGACTTAAACTCCTCTAAAGTAATACTATAGTTAGTAATACGCCCTAAATTAATTTAGGTTATAGTATTAGAAGTAGAGGAGGCGTCTAAGTTACTAAAGGGTAATAGCCTTTTTGCTAACCTATATATATAGACACTATAGGACAAAGTAGTATTAGAAGATAAGATATACTAAGTGCGTCTTAATATAGTTTAGAAAGGCGCTAGGTCTTTCCTAGTTCTAGCTAATATAAAGTAATAGATTAGGGACTATATAATTAGCGCACACGGCACTTTGCTTTAGAGGGGCGTTATTTAGTTACTAATATAGGAACCCCTTATAACTACTATTATATAGCAAGTATATAAATTAGGTTTAGTAGGATATCTAGGAAAGAATATAATATTTTAAATACTGCGCTGCAACTATTATTAGGATAGAATATTAGGAGATATTACGTGGTATATTTAGAACTGCTATTATTATAGTGCTTATATCTCCTAGAGGCGCTAATAGGGTCTATTATAACCTATACTAGTTACGTTATAATACTAGTCTTAAATATCTATAGATTTTATAGTTAACCTACCTATAAAAGATAATAGAAAACCTTAGTACCTATTAGTTATTACTAATAGATTATCTAAATATATTTAGATTAAAGCAACAGTCTCTATAGTAGCTAATTATTGTGTAAGGATCTTCTAGGACAACTAGTAGTAGTTCTAGGGCTTCCTATCCTCTATTATTACTAACTAAGGCTCTAACTAGTTAGGATCTTTCTAGATAATATTATACTAGATAATAAAGATAAACTAGTTACTGTCTACTATATACTATCCTTAGATAGACAGCAGGATAGAGCAGGTAAACTAAGAAGTGTAGGTAGTGCTGCGTATAATAGTATGCTTTAAGCAGACTAACTAGCCTAACTACCTACTAGCCTACTAACTTACACTTAATAATAGGGACTCTAGTATAACTAGTGTTAGCCTAAATCTACTTTTAAATAGGTATACTATAGATACGCTATAAAAGTTAATATTACTACTAGTAAAGCCTAAGAATCCTTGTAGGGA